ACCCCACAGAGAGACTATGTAAAGGACTGAGGAAGGAGTAGCATGGGCCAGGGAGATGTGAAGGGAATGTCAGTGAGGAGGAGCAGAGGTGGGGGAGTGAGTGCTGGAGCATGCTGAGGAGAGGGACTGGGACTGTGTGTGTAATTGAATGTGATATTCAGAGATGCAGCTGTTGGTGCATGGCTATGTCTCTAGGTCATGGCATCTGTTAGGGCCCCATCCAGCATATGTTTATATCCAACCATGTCCTTCACTGCTTCATGCAGTGGGAGCCATTTGGCTTCTGTCCACAGCGAGAACTTGTTGGCATTGTTCTGGAATCTTGGGAAGCACAGGCAGTTTCTGTGGCACTGACCTCTGCCTCTGCTTGGTCCTCAGCCTTGCATTCATCTGCAGTGCCCAATTCACAGAATCAGGGGTTGGAAGGGGTGCCTGGAGGTCATCGAGTCCAACCTCCCTACTAAAGCAGGTTCCTTACAGCAAGCAAATGCTCTGAATTTGGGGAGGGGGAGCTTTCAAGGTGTAGGGAAACAGCTTTTTACAAAAATGAAAAACTTGGCAAATGCATTTTCATCTTCAGCGTGTGTTTAAAACTTAAGAAAAGGTGCATCTGAACCACCTAACCAGTACTGAAGTGGCAGCTCACCTGCTGTAACCAATACATCAGTTGGTATGATCCTCTTAATCCTAGAATCATTGGGTTGGAAGGGACCTTAAAGATCATCTAGTTCCAGCCCCCTTGCTATATGCAGGGACACCTCCCTCTAGACCAGGTAATATTTGTCATTAATTAATATTTGTCACATCTTTTAAAAGAAAATAATAATGAAAGTTGAGAACTTCTGTGGAAAGATGTGAAATGGCATAAATTATGGTGTACTGACATGAAAAAAGCACTTTGGAGGGCAATTTGGATTTTGGTTTTGACTTCTCCTGGTCCTTCCATCCTTGGAAGAAAAAGTCAGTGTTTGGTTTTGACTTCTCCTGGTCCTTCCATCCTTGGAAGAAAAGTCAGGTATAGGGCTCCTAAGGTTGATTATATTTCTGATGCTGCAGTCTTCATCTTTTCTTCCCCTGGGTGACTGTGGACGCAACCACACATCTCCACGGCTTTCACGACAGCTCCTCCCTGCTTCTCTCCGAATGCAGAAGACAGACACAAGCCTGTGTGGCACGGGCTCCTTTTCATTCACACCACATGCAGTTGTGTTCCCCTCCTTGCTAGGATATCCGCTCGACCACCTGGTTTGTGTTTGCTTCCCTCCTGCCAACAGAGAGCGCTTCAGAAGGGCAGCGTTGCTGGCAGGGTGTTGCAGCCCTGCACCTTCTGTAAGCAAAACCCATTCAGCAAGGTGCTGGTGGCACTTCCTGCTAACCTTGCATGGCCTCTTTTAGCCAAGCAACGTGGCACCTACAGCTTGGGGCTGCGGGCTGTGCTGGCTGACATCTGCTGGTTGCATGTGTTGTAACAAGGAGCGCTTTAATCATGTAATGAAAGCCACGTTCCTGTAACTGTGTAATATATGGACAGAGCTTTGTAACATCACTTGTCTGAATGCAAGACAAATTGGATGCAGAAGCTTAGCCTCTTTGGGAACAGCTTATTTGAGGTTTATTATTTTTTATTTATGGTATAATTTCAGCTGACCCTCCTCCTCGCTTTATACCAGTGTGTTTTACCTTGACATTGCCTTGGGTATTAACCCCTCAAAGTTGTGCCCAGTTACACCCTGCCTTTTCCCAGCTGACTGCTCAGCTAATGGGCTGGCTAAGAAATGCTCACCGACTGGGTCTGTAACACACGTTGTCACCGACAGCAGTAACAAATGGCTCAAAATCCTCATTCTTCAGAGCATGAAGCAGCCACTGGTTCATAGGGATTGAAAAACGGTGTTAGTGCAGGCCTTCTTGTAACTCTTCCAGAAATAAATGCTGGTGATGGGAAAGAGTAAAACAGAGCAGTGCAGCTGGGCAGGGGACCTGCAGGGATGGCTCCTGGTGCTAAAGACACTCCTGCTCCCTGAAAAGCAGAGGCTCAGCTCTGCTGCTTTGCCTTCACCTGTCTGCCAGATCAGCAGCTCTCAGATGTGCTTTGCTCCAGGAGAAAAACAGCCTGTCCTGCCATGGCAAGGCCCAGCTGACCACAGAAATCCTCATCCAAACCAAACAGCCGCTTTCCTTCCTAGCATTGTCATGGAGCAAAATCGGATAGAAATCTTTATATAGCAGCTGATGCTTAGGCTCCAGTGTTTTGATGTTGAATTGCTTTGAAGCTCTCTTTTAGGATGAAGGGTTTGGTTTCAAACCAATCCTTTCTTTACCTTCTCTGAGATGTCTTTCCTTGCTTGAAGCTTAATCCAAACAGGATGAAATGAGGCAGGTCTGCCATGAGCTTTTAGTTTTCATGCTGTGATGAGCTGCAACTGAGCAAAGATTCATGTTTGAGGAGAAAAGTGGGGGATGCTTGATTGCAGCAAGAATAGATTTCCTCTGTTTGCATTCCTGGCTATTTTTCTTTCCCCTGATGGCTGCAGGTATTGTTTCTGGCTTAACTGGGAATTTTCCCACTCAGTAGTGAAGCACAGTGAAAGCTGTACAACTTTTTCCTCTTGCTTAATCACCATCAGGCTTTTTCCAAGGTATTTTGGCTGCCTTCTCCTTGCATCATCATCTCATCAGAAGTGTAAGAAAACATTGGTGTTGTGAACCATAGTGAGGTGTCTGCTTGAGTTTCCTATGGTGTGGCTGAAGCCCTTGTGTCACATGGGCCCACCGCCATCGAGTTCTGTTACTTGTAGCTTTAAGCAGTTCTTAACTTCACACCAAAGACGTCAGAAATGCAAAGCTTCAACTTCAGCATCGTTTGCTTGTTCTGGTAGTGGTACCGAGGCAGCCTTTCCTTGGAGTTCTTCAAAACTAAGCAAATGGTGAAGAATCTATTTCACATACACTATTCTGGGACACTGAGGGATACTTTGCAAAGGATTGTGAGGCCAGAGTGCGAGTCCCATAATAGGCAATAGGTTTTGCAGGTTCTAATTCTCTACCTGCTGGGCTGTGGTGCTCAGCTTCCTGCGATCCTGGTGTGCTGGGGGCTGCGAGTCGTTTTGATCATGCTTGTCCAAATGTGCCTCTGGTCAACCTGCTGAAGCTGGTAAATCTCTGCTGGATTGAAACTGCCTGAAGTGAGGAAAGGTCTGTGGAGAAACCTTACAGAAAGTCTGTGACCCCCGTAGGTCTGAACTCTTTGATAGCATCTTAAACTAGGCTTCAGCAGCCACGCAGCTGGGAGGATGCTGGCTAAATGACCTTGGGAAACTTGTTTCATCATCTTGGTTTCTGGAGGTATTGAAGTGAAAGCCCGTTTGAAGAAACAGAAATGATGGGCAAGTGCTCAAAATGAATGTCGTGTGTTAGAGATCGTTGGAGAAAATGCCAAAAAGCCTTCTCTGAGGGTGGCCCAAAGAAGAGGGAGGGCTCAGCTGACCTCCTTTTGGGGCAGGCTGTATGCTGGAAGCAGGAGGTGGGTCTGGAACACCTTTATAATGTAGCTGGATGGATACGTGCTTGTCTGACTGTCTGTCCACATACACCTGTCAGAGCACACAGATGCACACCCAGACTTGTAGCTGCAAAACTGCTTCTTTATAGCTGTGGTTTTTTGTTTTTTTTTTTTTTTTTTTTTCCAGGGAACAAATAGTGTTAGACAGGAGAGAAGGAACATGCTGAGGAACGTAGACGTGGTAAGAGTCAGAATGTGTAGGAGAGGCAAGTGGGCTGAATAGGAAATTTTACCCTTCAGGAGAGCGCTGGACAGATGGGAAGCAGGCTTGCCATTGGGAACGCTTCCAGGGCAGATCCTTTTGAAGTCAGCTGGCTCAGGAGCCACTGACCACAGTGTCCATCTATACAGCGTGTTCCTCAAGGGCTGCAGGACCACCCTGCAAGCCAGATGCGTTTACCTCTGCAGTCTCCCGAGCTCAATGAGAGCAGCATCTGCTGGGAGTCCCGAGCACAGCTGTGTCTGACACGGTATGGTCAGATAAGGTATGGTGTTGGGGCTCTGCTCACTTTCCTGTGCCCAGCTGGGAGCTGTAGCAGGCGTATTTTGTAGCTGACAGACTCAAGAGGGCAAAAAGCGTTTTGGGGTGTGTTAGTAGGAGAATGATCTCTTTCCATCAGCTGGCTGTCTTTAGCTTTGGTGTGGCCTCTCCTTGGACACTGCTTGCAGTTCTGGGCTTTGCAGTATCAAAAGAGTGTTAGAATTCTTGGAAGCATCCAGAGGAGTGCAGTCCTTCCTGGAGCAGAGCACTTTGCTTTTCTTGTGTGCCATAAGGGAGGTGAGCTTGTGCATGTCTAGGGCAAGCCACACAAACAGGACAGTGCCTTTGTAAGTGAGTGGATGGGGATATGGTTTGACATGGAAAAAAAATCAGATTTAACATGTTGGTCATGGCGCCAGAACATGGGGAAAACCTGCTTTGTTTTGGTACAATCTCTTGTGGTTTTCTGTCCTTTTTTTTCTTTCTTTTTTTTTTTTTTTTTAAAAAAAAGCAAAACTAAAGAAACAGTAAATATTCCTGCGGAAACCCTTAAACCAGTGTTTAAACCACAGAGTTTAAAAACACATTAAAAAGAAAAAAGTTCTCCTGAAATTTTAGCGTAGCTCAACTGTGGGGCGCCTGTTCCTCATCTAGAATTGAGCTGCTCAAAATTGAACTTCAGGTTTTTCCCTTGATGAAAGCATTAGATGCATTTGACCTGAACTTGTGAAGGGTGTAAATCAACCAGAAACACCAAACTGTTCGTATGCAGGATTTCATCCCTAGCTAATGTGTGATTGCTTGCTTGGTTGCTGTAGCAGCTTGTCCTGAGATGTAGCAAAAGGTCTGAATCTGGACCACAAGTCAGTTTTCTTTTTTTTTCTCTTTTTTTCTTTTTTTTTTTTTTTAAGGTAAATAACTTATTTTTTTTTTTTTTTTTTTTTTTTTTTTCCCCAGGGAGATCTCCTATTCTGTATCATTGTCCCAGTCCTTCAGGATGCTGTCTAGAAGGATTCATGCTGTTCCTGGCCAGCCCTTCGATGGTGCTCCCAGCTTACCCAGAGACACTGGTAAAAAAGTGGCACAGCTTCTATGCAGAGCACGGCTTTTGAGGAACTGCAAATAATCCCAGATAGTATTGGAGATCTGTATCTTATCCTTCAGCCCCCGAGGGGGTGGTAAATCTCAGCCTAAATTTACTCTTTTGCTCCTGAAAGAATTTGTAATCATTGCTGTCTTGGAAAGGCGAAAGGGAGGAGGGGGACGGGGGCCAGTCCATTTGCAAACACTTGTGGAGATGGAAACAACATGGATTTATATTCTAATGGGGGAAATTTGGCTGTGGGATGTCTGAATGAATGCAATCTGATGAGTTTCATTAAGGCTTCACCTCATTCTTTTAATTAACTTCTTGTTCTTGTCCTTGGTGAAGTAGTAATTATTTTTTAATTAGCCCAACACTGCATTGCCGAGCTAGCCAACCCTAGCCTCATCTCACTGAGAGGTGTCATAAGAATTAAGTTAATTAGCTTGTCACTATCCCTGTAAAATATGGCCGTGTTCAGCAAAAAGAGGGGGGGGGAAAAAGCCCCCTTTGCTGTTCCAAGGTTAATTAAAAAACATGGTGCACAAGGGTGTCAGATTGTCTGGAGGGAGTCAGGTCCTGGGCTCTGGTTGGCACTGCAGTTTGCATTGGCTGTGGACCCAGGAGCAGAAAGCCCCATCCTGTGGCATTGCTTGCTGCTCTGAGCAGTCCCTGTGTGCCAGCCCCTGGGAGCAGCATTTGGAGGTGGGAGGGAGGCTGAGCCTGTCCCACAACTCTTTTCTGGGTCAGTTCTGCACTTCTCACCACTGTACGAATGTTCTCTGACATTCACATCTCGCAGAGTTTGAGTTTTGGATCAGTTGGGAAGAAAACCACTGGAGAACTTGTAGCTGCTGCAACCCATTTGGTTGTTTTGATTAAACCGAGGGAAGAAGAATAAAATCTGCGAATAGGAACTTCAGGGGTTGAACGCTTTGGTTCAGAAAGCTACTTCCTCTGTCAGAATCCATCCCAGTGAGAGATTTGCCAGCAGTGAGCCCTGGGCACTGCGCACTGCAGCTCAGCCCTGCGTATCTATGGGTTGCAGTCCAGGAGCTGTGCTGGGGCACTGTGGCAGTTCCTAATCCTTGCACAGAGATCCAGAGACACCAGGCTTTCTCTCCAAGACTCCTCACGTGTTTATTTGACAGTTCAGCATTAATTTTTTTAAAAGAAGGCAATTTCTGGCTCTCGTGATTGAAGAGATGAACTTGAATATATGAGCCCTGTGGGATTTAGAGCTGTCTCCTAAATCTCCCCAGATGATGATGATGGCTCCGCTCTCTTTGCTTGCAGGGATTCTTTTTCTTTTTTATTTTTTTTTCCTGGCTGTGTTGCCAGTTGCTGCCTCTCCTGGATGGATTCACATTGTGCATTCATGTCTCCCTGGGCAGAATCTCAGGGCAGGAGGGATGGTCCTGACCCCTGTTCCTCATTAGCAGCGATGGGCCAGGAGTTAAATCTGTGTAGCTGGTTGTTGGAGGCGCTTCATTTGTCTGTGCTGTGCTTTTACAGTGGGGAAGAGACTTGCACAGCTGAAGGAACAGGGGTGGATGGACTGCATGGGCTGGCGTTGGTTTGGGGTTAGTGTGTCAGTGATATGGTTAATGTTACAGGAGCTGCTTGTGATTTAGGATCCTGGGGTCGTTAAGGTTGGAAAGTCCACTGAGATGGTCAAGTCCAACAGTCAACCCATCACCACCATACCACTGAGCCACGTCTCTCAGTGCCACATCTGCCCTTTTCCTAATGACCTCCAGGGACACTGACCCCACCACCTCCCCTGGCAGCCTGTGCCAGTGCCACTCTTTCTAAGAAGTAATTATTCCTGATAGCCAACCTGATACTTTCGCATCAGCATAAACAATACCAGGTATTTGACCCAGTTTGAGTCTAAATCTGATGTGACAGTAGTTGCATGTGAAGAGAGGGAAGGAAAGGCAGGAAGCTGCTGAGGAGGCCATGGCTCTTAAGTGCTCAGCAGTGCTGGTCGTAGGATTATGTCTTTGAGTGACTTTGAGTCAGTTTGGAAGAAGACCAACAGTACCCAAAGCCTGATTCTTTGGTATATTGTAACCGTGGATTTATTACAGGGTTTAGAAGGAGCTTTCATGAAGAAAATTGTACCATAACTTTCGTCCATTCTTGAAGATTTCTCCAGATAAGAAGAAGCTGAAGATATTTCTGGAATATTTTATAAACTGGGGTTATTTTAATGAAACATTCTGATGAATAGGAGCATAATTTCAGCTGATCCCTGGTTCTGACATCTCACTGACACCAGCTGTCTGTGGTCGGGAAGTGGAAAGCTTTGTCTCCCAAATATGAAATCATCCAGAGCTCTCTTTGCTCTGAAATCACTGCTTTCTGTAGGAAGCCAGCTTCCTTTTTGGTGAAGAATGTTATGGACTGAAAAAACCCCATAAAATCTATCAGTGAAATTTTGACGGAAAGCTTATGAGCAGCGCTACTCCATAGCAGCTGGCCACCATCAAAGACAGGATACCGAGTAGACAGAATCTTCTGTGATCCAGCACAGTGATTTTTATATTCCAAAGTAAATAATAGTTTAAGAGTTAACTGTTTGGGGGTCCCTCAAGCTTTCAGCTGGGGGTCTGTGTTTCTAACTCAGCGGATAAGGCTGTCAGTGAAGAAAAAACTAAAGGGGGAAAAAGTAATTCCAACAACCCCAATGGCCTCCTTCAGTGAGTAAGGATATTAACTTCGGCTTTAATAAAAACATAATGTTAACTAATCTGCTGTGAAGAGCTTCAGCTGCAAACTGTAGCAATTTACCAGTGAAAAACTGGAAGGGGACTGAGAGTTGGAGGGAGCCTGCAATCATTAGCTGTAGATTAAGCATGAATTAAATTATTTTTGATTGTGTCGTCGTGAGGGTTGTGCCTTTCCAGCTTTCCTCTGTTGAAGGGATGAAGAGGAAACTTTTGGCTGCATTTGATGCCTTGCTGTGATGGAGATGGTGTGAGAAGGTGGGATGTGGGCTAATCGTTGGGTGCACAGGGATGCTGCAGTGTGTGGTGAGAGGCCAAGGCTGCAAGTGATCTGCTGCTGTCCTGCTAATACTGCTTGTCAGTGTGACACTGCTGCTCTCAGATCCCATTGTGGCTGTACGTCTATGGGACATGTAAAGGTGGGAAAGGCCTTCAGCAGTAAGGTGGGATAATGCTGTGTCCCCTGGCTGGGAGCAGCAGCATCTGTTCCAGAATAAGATGGAAGTCAATGGAGTAACTGCGCTGGGTTCAGGTCTGCTCAAGGCTTCTGATTTGGTGTATGTTCCCACGTCTTTGCATGTCAAGTCTGAGTCATGTGGATACTTCAGGTGTCAAACAATGGCTGTGGGTTGCTCAAGTCTGCTCATGTAGGGGCCACAGCCCCCTGAAAAAGACCCATTCTTCTAACATCTCGTAAAGTGCATGCATTTTATTTGGTACAACTGGTTGTATTTATTAATCATGCGGATCCTGTTGCAGTGCAGATCAGCACTCCATCAGAAGCAACAAGAGAGACTAAATCAAAAGTCTGTGTCCCAGTTTTGAGGGCATCTAGGCTCTGTGAAAGGGCTTTGTCTGGAATTGTGTTGCAGTAATAGGAAATCTCATTCTGATTTTTTCCCTGCTTAAACCAGGGGAAATTTAGATTCAGCATCCATATCCCACTCAGATCTAAGGCTTTCCTTCTCCCTCCAGTGTTTTTACTCCTAATCGTGTAGTCTTACCTGAAGATACAGAAAAACATCAGCAACCTGCAAATATCCAAAAGACCATTCCAAATTGTGTGAACAATATGCAGAAATGAAATCCTAGCTGCATGGCATATGGCTCATCCCTAGAAACCTGTGCGCTCAAAGAGTTGGGGTAGCAACTATTCAGACAAAGTGGGGAACATGTTAAGGCGATGCCTGTCAGAGCTATCGAGCCTCCTTGCTTGTGAGAAACATATAATCCCTTTTAATCTCATTCCTTGCATTCCATGTAGCTGTGAGGCGGGGTTTCAGTAAAAATGATTTTTGTGTTGCTGAGCAGAGTTGTAAAGGAGCTCTGAAGATGCTCGCTGTAGGGCACAGCAGCTTTGTTGCTGCCAGTGGCTGTTGTGTGAATGGGGAAGAGAAGAGAGCAATGCAGCCCATAGCCAAACTGCTGATGTACCTTCAGTGGGCTGCAGTGGCTGTATCCAGCCTTCCCTTGTTAAATAACTGGATTTGGAGCTATAGGTTTTTAAAGTAATTTTAAGTAATGAATGCTGTCTTTGCCATGGGGGGTAAGACCAAGGAGCCACTTATGTGGCCTGGTGAAATGGGTGGTGTTTGCTTAACTACACCCTCAGATTTCTTAAAATCCTCCAGCAGGTTTACTAATGCTCCCTGTTGTTCCTGTAGTTTTTGGACTGGACAGTGTTCTGCTGGAGGCACGTGTGATACGGAGGTACAGGGCTTATATGAGAATTGTGTTACAGTGTGGTGAGGCGTAAGGCTTTTACTCTGGGAACTGAAAACAAGAAATTGAAATCTTCCTTAATCTGAAAGCATTCAGTTCTTGAGGTCTGTAGAAGTAGAGAGGGAGCTGCTGTTGGAAGTGTTGGGCTTCTGATTGAGAGGGCCAACTAGGGTAGTGAGGGGGGGGAAGTAAAATTAATTAGTAAAGCATTCTAAAAGGTACATCGTACACACACAAATATACAGGAATGAGTAGCATGGGATGTGCTGTGAGGCTGTTGTGTTGCTGGATTAGCCTGGGCTTGGCTGGGGAATAGGTTAAATCTTTCTGCATCACTGTTAACATCCAGGTTTCTTATCAGTTAGGAGGGGTGCTGAGGCTGCATTGCAAATGCGCCCCAGTGAGCAGAACCAGCTTCCAAGGGATGCTTTGAATAAGACCTGCTGAGGTGTGGCATGTCGAAGCAGACTGATGCCCTCCATCCAGATGTGAGAATGCTTCAAAGACAGCAGTTGTAGTAACTACTTGCTGA